TACGTATTTTCAATGCAGAATGTCTTTTATCTCTTTCTATATGGATACTATGTTATTCAAGCTCGTCCGTGAAAATGTGTCTATTTTGGATTATACATGTAGTTTTTATTACACAATGATACACAAAAGAATAAATTATAGATTGCTTTATAAAGTGATCCGTAATTATGTTGCGATTTTTTATATATGCATATGGATCTCCTCAACGCATATAGAGCTCAAATGCAATTTTGAGCAGCGATTCCTTCGTTTGTAGCCAAATCTCAATAAATGTTTAAAACAGGATTTGTCTGCATGTTAAGCATCGCTCTGTATTGAGATTTCGTAAAATCTCTGGGTTTTTTTGTCAGTTAAGTGACATTTTCTTCATACACATTGCATGTTTTGGACAACCCAGAACCCATGACGGAAAGAATATCTCGATGAAGACTACAAAGAAATCAATACAAAAATGAGTAATATAGAGGAGAGTCAGGAAGGTAGAATCACATTTCGATTTTCTTAAAAAAATGATTGAATTTTATATAACTTTATTAAAAGTTTTAGCTTCACATCTGGAGCAGCGGAAATTCACACATACTTTTTACCGATGCTCATTTTTGAGATACATATGGGATTCTATCCCCGTTTTTTATTGTGAAACAAAATGCATATGTGTTTCTAGACCCAGGGCATGTGTCTTATGTTGTCGTAAATGAAAGAATTGAAAGCATGTAGTCCAATGATAGGCCAACGATCAGTGAAGTCTTAAATCTTACATTTGGTTAAAAAGAAACTTAATATGAAAAATAAGAAACAACAGTCTTTAAGTTTCCACGTTAAACTCAGACAGTGCAGTACGTTCCGTACTGAATTATTGAACACGTTTGATAAAATATTACTACTTTATTTAACCAACAACTTATATGAATTAAGTTATAGAAAATATACGCTTTTCACATTTCCAAAATAGTAGCGTTGACAGTCAAAACTAAAAAGAAATAACTGTAACATTTTAAGACTTATTTGAAGTCAGAATTAAAAATGTTCTAAACTTTGCATTAGAGAAAACAATTCACCGATCTCGTTTTCAAGTTTATCACATGAAAAGTAAATAAGATCCAATTTTTTTTATTAACTATCTTTCTCTGTATGTGTAACTAGTAAAGAACAGAATATTGAGTTTTTCTTCTTTTGTGGCATTCATCGAAGAAAATGGTATGTGATTTCAAAAATGGTATATTTTTAAAGAATTAAAATTACCTCTTATGAAAAAGGTAACAGAAATATTTCATGGATTTTTTTGGTTGAAAATATGGAAAAAATATACTGAAAAACATTACAAAAGGAAAAAATATTTTGTATAAGTTATCTGCCCCTTTGATTACCCCCAAATAAGTAAAAAAATGAAATCCATGTGCAAAAGATGAGATCGGTGACCCTTAAGTTTTTTGGCTTGAGATGTTTATCATATTGTAACATCATGCCACGTTTCAAGAATATATGCCGAACATCTTTATATTGGCTTTATGTTTTTATAATACTGCACGTTTGTTATGTCGAATTTCCATTGGATTATCGTGCAGTATTATAATATTAGTTATAAAGATTTTTGACAGGCTATAAGACCTTTTTTGACAGGTTATATCGTTGGCTTAATACTACAAACCCATATGTCGTTTTTTTTGTCATTTTTAGAAAATCGCATTTGAAACTTTGAACTGTAATAACTTTTTAATGATAAACCGTATAAAGATAAAATTTTCAGTGAATTTAGAAATCAGTATGTTATACATATATACCGAATTTTATTTATGTGCATACAATTTAAAGCAAAAATCTCAAATAATTTATTTCAATTTTTCATAATGAATAAGAAAACACATACATATTCTGAATTCTAAAACCCCATTCGGGAGATACTGGGTTGTTGGCAAAACATTCAGGTCATTTCTATACCATTAAAGCGACATACGGGGTTCTAAGTGAATAATTTGAAGCAAAATTGACTAAGTGTAATAATTTTCGGCTAGAAACATAGCAACAATTCAAGTAAAAAATATCATTAACTTCTCTTTCTGTGTTATATATCACACGTCTGTTTGAAAATCAATGCTACTATCAAATGATATCTACATCAATTTTTCAAAAAGTATGCACTTGTTCTGTTACATGTTTAACAACCGTGGGTATCCGACGATGCGTTTCTGTCACATACCTATGTTGCAATTTTTTATTTAGAGTGTACATCAAGTAGATGCTTTTCGTACTTTAGAAAACAGCGTTGAATCTGAAACAATTTGTCCTTATAGCATTTAGATGTAAACAAAGTGGTTTTTTTTGTCTTCCATTCAAGAATATCTAATAACTATAACTTCATGGATGATCAAAATGCAAATGGAAAAAAAGGGTTCAGCTATATAGCCAATGAGTACCCTTCCAAAAAGTGTAAAAACTTAAAAATAAGAAGCTATCGGAAACAAAAAAGTTATAGTACTCATCGAGGCTGTCCGAAATGGTTATCATCCGAATAAATGTAGTATTTACATATGTATCTATTTAAACAATTACTATATAATTCAAAATGATGTTAGAGCTTTAAAAACTAAATCATCAATATATGTATATTACAGTCAGGTAATATACTATAATTATCTTTAAATAAATCACTAAAGGTTTTTTCAAATATTTGGTTGTGATAAAGTAGGCAGCCATTACAGATGTGTCATGTATCACGTGGTACAAAATCAGAATGTTTGATTGGACGAGAAGTTACTGGAGTCTAGAATTAAAGTTTGATGTAAATAGCGAGTTACGGGTTTGTGGAATTGGAAATAAACATATTTATGTTAGTTCTACAACTACGTACAAAAGTATGTTCACTGTGAAGAGCTCACTGAGACGAAAAAAATGATATAAAAATCTCAATTTTGCCAAAAATCGAGTTACGGGGTTATAGAATTAACCCGACGATATGGCCGTTTATTGCCGAACGGCTAAGCTAGGGTTTTGTTGAAACCTTTTATATCCGGCCATATAACCCGTAAAAATCTTCATTACAAAATTATAATACAGCAAGCATATTTTTTATTGAAAAAAAAAAGATTTCTTCATAAATTGACAGCATCCGTTTATATTATTAGTTATAAATATTTTTGACAGGTTATATGGCCCTATATAAACGATTGCTTGTAAATATATATTTTTGACAGGTTATATAGCCCTATATAAACGATTGCTTGTAAATATATCCCGAGCAAGCATCATATTTAGAGGAATATAGAGAGATTTCTTTTATAATCGGCAGTAGCCGTGTATATTGTTTTATATACACGGAGCTACTGATGCTTGCTGTATTATAAATTCGTTATAAAGATTGTTGACAGGTTATATATATGGCCGTATATTTAAACGGTTGTTTGCAATATAAACCTCGCCTAGCGGCTCGGTTTATATTTACAAACAACCGTTTATATAGGACCATATAACCTGTCAACGATCTTTATAACTAATAATATAAATGTCACTATTGTCCAATAAAAAGCGACGTTATGTACAAACGTGCAGTATTATAAAAAGCATTTTTGGGTGAACAAATATTTTTAGTAGGATAGAATAAATAACATGGTAAAGCATATAAAATTAGAGTTATACAATATAAATATTGGATATAGACCAAAAATTAAATTTATTGAATATTGCAACGTTTAACATGCCATAACCACGGATTTATATTACATGTAAATCCGTGCCATAACCCACATAATTTACAAATTATTTGTTCTTAATCAAGATTTAGCGGTGTTCAACATTATGAGAGAGAGATTAAATATCACATGGTGGTCATGTGATTATCCAAAATGGAAGACGATCCGTTGTTGAAAAAACGGTCTAAAATTCAGAGAGATGGAACATTTTCTGAAGAATCAGCTGATGAAGTTGACCATATTGATATCATGGCAAATCATGAACCAAAGAAGGTTGAATAGATGTCTCTGTCTTTAATCACGGAATATTCTGAATAATAAATTTATTGGGATATGGGGTCATAAAAAACGAATTTAGACATCAGAAAACTCATAATTTGCATTCTACTCGTCCTTTAGTCAACTCGTATTATTATTATTTCAGAAATAGGGGGTCAAATTGGTTAAGAAAATAAAATTAAAACTATATTAAGTCTCTTTAAACGTATGCAGTTTTAATATGTTTAATTAATGTTTATTTCTGTTTTTTCAGGACTTTACAGCACACCTTGCCTTGTCTATAGCAGCATGTACCCTAGGGTCTTCATTCCAGTTTGGATATAATACTGGCATTGTTAATGCTCCTGAAAAGGTAACTGCAGAAATGTATAAACTTTGTGTTGTTTTAATTAATTTACACTTGTGCAAGGTTCTTGAAATTACTGACCAGTGATTAAGGTGTGCTTCTGAAAAATCAGAAGATTTTTTAATGTTTTTCTTTTGCTTTAGGATAACAATCAATAAACAGATATTACATGAAATAGGTCATATATGAAACACATTGTTTAAAGATATACTGTGCTCATCCTTAGGTAAAATATTTTAATCTTGGAAATTTAATGAAATCTATGAAATGCTTACTGAATATGTCCTATATGAATAAAAGAATGGATAAACTATGTATGGGAAGCTGCGTTCCATACAACAGGTCAGGCAAAGTTGATTTTTTCTTTAAAAAAACTGCCAGTTTTTTTTATTGACACTATTTATTCATAGTGTGACCACCTATATAGTGTGTAGAATTTTAACATCGTTTGGTAAAATTTGGGGCCGAATATCGGCCCCATTCCCCACCAAAAAAGTGTGTTTTTTTCCCCCAAAACTGAAAAAATCCCCCTTGAAATCCCTTGAAATTAATATTTAACGGGCATAGAAAATGCGATTGGCGAATATATATTCCGCAAACGGCAACCGGAAATTAGTACCATACGTATTCTGCAAACGGCAATCGGAAATTAGTATGTATATATAAATAAAACATTCCAGACAGTTTTTAGCATTCCAACATGTTGCACAATTTCAAGTCTTACCGAAAAAAGATATTCCCCCTTGAATGAAAAATATTAATTTTGAAAATCATGCAAAATCCCCCCCCTGCATGGACCCTGGCCCATGCTAATGAGAGCCCTGTTTAAACATAACATATCTACTTTGTGTGAAGTCAAAACATGTTTTTTTTTATAATTACAAAAACTTAAATTTAGCCCATTATTCTAAGATTTTAAATGTTATCAACATGAAACACTTCCTTATCTGATAATATCATGACAAGGTGCAGTTGTTAAATAAGGCGCATAATTCTGAAAGCTGTATTTTTGGAGTTATGCCCCTTTTAACTTTTTATCAAAGTTGAATATTGATAGTCAATTTGGAGTTATGCCCCTTTATAACTAAGTAATTTTGTCAAAATTGGTTATTGATAGTCATAGACCCTTAATAGATGAGCATTAACACTGCATGCTTTGCTCTTGATATATTTTTATATTGAGCCCCCTAAACTTCAAATGGACTGTTCCAAATTGTCATTAAAAGCTGGATCATTACACAAATTTAGCTGGTAAAGTGTTAGACTATTCCATTTTGACAGGTGTTGAAAGGCTTTTATAACCAGACGTACCAGAGCAGATACAATGAGTCCTTGAATTGTTTAGACAGCCCGTCAAACTGTACAATACTCACTGTACTGTGGGCCGCCACTGTCTCTATCTTTTGTATTGGAGGGATGATAGGAGGGGTGTCGGCTGGGTACTGGGCAAACAGATTTGGCAGGTAAGCCTTGATTAAATTCTGCACTTCTAATCCAGTCAAAGATAAAATGAGTTCTAAGTTCATAGTAAACAAGTCAGGTTTTTATCCACATTTCTCCTTAAAAGAATTCTTGGTTAAAAGTTCATTAGTTCATTTATCAACGAAAAAATGAATTTATTTTGCATATAACTATGTGTAAATAAAAATGAAAAATTGTCAGCCCTGGGCACTCTCGCACTGTTAAATATATAACTACATGTACAGAGATACATTTGTACTAGATCTATATGTACCGGACTTGTCAGTCACCAAATACTGAAATGAATTTTAATTGTAATTTTCGATAATCAAGCAAAATTGTAATTGCACATGGTATTGAAAGAAATAGGTGTATGCCTTTTATCCTTGCATTTATAAATTTTTAGATACTTCTTGTAATTTAATAAATCAGGTAGTGATATAAAAAAAACACTAGTTTTTGAAATAAAGTATATGATACAATATCAAATATCAGATGGACATCACATGGTAAACTTAATCATTAATGAATTACATTTTGTAGTGATACATGTATATAAAATAAGGCTTTTTATTTAATAATTTCAAAGCTGCTTTTCACTGAAAGGATCAACAATTTAGTGCTAAACTTCCTATTGCAAATTTATGCATTTTAAGCCAGAACTTAATGCCAATTGACTGATGAAATAAGGGAGATAATTCATAAGTTGCTTATTTCTAAGGCTGATTGTGTTCATACAAGAGTAATGTAACTTAATTTCTAAACTCATTGGGATGAAAAGTGAACTTTTTTACCTTGGAATAGTTATAACATTGGCTTTTAGTTGATAGTCTGACATACTGTAATGTCATTTTGGTCATATCATAACTCTTTTTCTCCTACTTTTGATGATGTTCACTCTCTTTAATAATAAATTTTCTGAGTGTTCTTGAAACTAAAATTTTAGCTCTTTAATATCTAAATATCTTAGTCTTTTTGAAACTTTTATCACCAAAAGTTCAGGATGCCAGTATCTTGTATGATTAAACAAACTTGTTTTGAAAAAGGGTTTCTTATTGGTTGATTTTAATATCATTTTTGCATTAATATTAATGATGTTAAGGTAAACATATGACAGCCTTACATACGTTGTCAGGTTTGTCGAGGGTAGAGTATCAGAGGGAAATTGAAGAGTTTGAGGTAATGGGGTTGGATCTTTTTAAAAATTTTGCTCTTTTTCAGGAAGCGTACATTACTACTCAACAATATTATTCTGGTAATAGCATTGGCTATAGAAATATCATCAAAAAATCTCAAATCCTACGAGGTGTTGATCATTGGAAGATTTTTTGTAGGGGTTAATGCAGGTAACTATTTGAGCCGCGTCACGACAAAACCAACATAGTGCGTTTGCGACCAGCATCGATCCAGATCAGCCTGCGCATCTGCGCAGTCTGATCAGGATCCATGCTGTTCGCTATCAGTTTCTCTACTTGTAATAGGGTTAAGTTAGCGAACAGCATGGATCCTGATCAGACTGCATGGATGCGCAGGCTGGTCTGGATCCATGCTGGTCGCAAACCCATTATTGTTGGTTTTGTCATGGCACGGCTCATTTGAGTATTTTTTGTAAGGTTTTTGTCTCTTTTTTACTTGAAACCGCCGTTGAAGGTTTTGAATGCCATAAAAGATAATGACCGACCTATGCCACTAGTATAAGACTAGGACAGTATGCACTTTTTAGACTGTATACCTTAATTCTAGTTATGACATATTTATTTTAGCTAATGATTGTGATGAAAACTTGAACCTTATTTTAACCACTTTCGAGCTTGCTTCCAGTAATTATCAAGTACCTGGTATCATTTGAAGAAATCATGTTCTTAAATCTATATAGAATGCTATATAGAGCTCAAACCCATGATCCCTTGGTTGAGAGGCAAACACCTTAGCTATTAAGCCACTTCTGCCCTGATCTGTTGATTCTTCAGATATAGCTTTATAATAATACCCTTAAAAACTTCCATATGAATAAATTGGAACAGATGAATAAACTTTGGGGGGGGGGGGGGCGGTTGTATTGATGACGAAAAACTGTGTATACATTTATGACAATTTATTTTTATTAAAAATATAAAACATTTTATACAAAAAAGAAATTCTTGTCATCTGAAATTTCAATCATGCAAATGTTTATTTCTATATTACATTTAAATCCTGGAATAAAAGAAAACAATATATTAGTAAATGTAAGTTAATTGTAAGTATTTAATGGAAATACAAGATTTGTTTTTAGACACTTATATGCCACAAAGTTTTGCAATTTGAAATGTAAACAAAAAACATATTTATGACAAATTATGATATTTAAGGTGGCAATAAGACCATGATCTTTGCTTGGTCAAATGAGAGAAATAATTATATATTGTAAGTTTTAATTAAAAAAAATTTAAAAAATTGACCAATTCTCTTTTTATGAATCTTCACATATACATGTACAGTAGAATTAAGGCGTGTTTGGCCACTGTTCACATTTCATTGATAAAAATACAAAGAAAATACAACACAATATATTATATATTATTACACTTAAAAAATATAAATAATATTTACGATCAACACTTATATGTACACATTTGATTAAAGTAATAGATAATGTCAACTATTTTACAGTGTATCTATGTTTATCCAAGAGCTAATGCTGAATTAAGCATGTTTGATGCTGGAAAATTCATTCCTGACAAAAGTCCTGATGATGGGTATCCGGACATTGAATTTCCCATACTTGACACTGGTGTAAAACTGGATTGAAAAGATGTTGAGAAGTTGTTAAGTCCTTGGTAGGGATGGTTCAAGGGTGAGCTGGTTGGTGGCATGTTCATCTGTGCCTTTGGAATGTAGTGACTGGATCCGAAACCCTGGTCCTTTGGGTTCATGTACATTGATAAGGGAGCGTGGTGGTAGGAATGGTTGAAGTTTTGGTTGAAGTTGGCGATGTTTTCGAATGATCGTTTGAAAATGTCGGCATCAGAGACTGTGAGGTTGACTTTCTTGTTCTTCTTGCTTTTCATAGACATCTTTCGATTTCTTGTTTGAATTCCTTCCTTCTTCATTTTGAGTGGGCGGTCAGCTTTGTGAAGTTTATAGTAGAGGCCACAAGCATTACAGACTGGGCTTCCGCTGGCATTTCTGCGCCAAAGAGTAGTGCTGCTTGTTCCACAGTTTGTGCAGGAGACACCACTTTGTTTTCCTGATGAAAGACGCTTCTTTGGTTTTACCAGAGGTCGATTGGTCCCGTTCATTTTAGCATACAAGCCACATGCGTTACACAAGAAGTGACCATTGCCATCTCGGCGCCAGAGTGGTGTGTGGGTGGCGGCACAGTTGACACACTCCCTCCCCTCCTGAGTTGCTTTTGTCACCTTAGGTGTTGTGTCCTTTGGGGATGATTTTGTTTTAGTTACTTCTTTTTTCTCATTTACCTCGGTTATATCGGTCATGTTGGGGAACTCTTCACCAAACTGAGGTGGAAATTGTGGCATACAGGTGTTGTTGGAGTCCATGGCAGAGTGGGTTGGTACAAAAGCAGACGGCATTCTCAAATCTTTTGATTGTGTGGTGAAGTCTGGTGAAGTTCGGTATTGGCATTCTGGTTCTTCCGTGGATTTGATAGAATCTGGTGAATGGGCAGCCGTTGTATTAACTTCTGGTTTATGAGCGAAATTGTTCATTGAGTAGTCAGTTGCATCAACCATATTATAACTATCCATTGGAGATGGCTTAGTGAACTTTGGCATATCTGGAGAGACTGATTCAGTCATTCGTTGAGCCAGTCCAGGCATATATTCTGATTTGACTTGTTGCTTGAAACCTTTTTCTTGGTTGTAATCCAGACTGGTACGGTTGCTATGGCTACCACCTCCTACACTGATGTCATCATCATCTGGGGGTGTTGGTGGGAAACCATACATAGGCTGGTGAAGTGACATAGACTGGTTATCAATATTCATGCCAGACTGTGCCCCATGTTTGTTTGTGCTAGACTGTGTTGCTCCAAACAAGTTATATCCTGAAAAGTTAAAAAAAGAAATCTGTAAGATATTTTGTTTTTGACTATTTATAAATCTATAAAAATAAAAATATCAAAAAAGGCAATTTAATTGCCATGTCTCATATTATCTCATATTTATTGAAATTGATATTTAAAAAATATATAAAATATAAAAGTAAAGTAAAAAAAACAACAAAAAACAGAACAGAAAAATGACATTTTAATTTATATACCATGACTGGTTCTAAATTATTCAGTTGCTGTGACTGGTTTGGGTGAGTCATGTGACTCAATAAACATACAGTTAATTCAAAACTACCAAGTGCAAATACACAGGAAACATGTGCTATTCCTGTCATGTGTATATACATATTGACAGCAATAAACACACATGGCTACTAGGACTACTGGCATTTTCAAAAAACATAATACACAGAAATCAGAATATACTATTAAAAAGAAAGTTGATTTTGAAATCACAAAAAGAAAATAAAAAAAAAATGGATAAATACATAAATGAAAAAATAATCACAAAATATATTAATTATATATATAGAAAAATAAATTTAGGTGTAACTTTTTCTGTTGTATCAGATTTTTGTGATTTAAGAAAAAATAAGCTTATATTTTTTGTTTAGCTTCTAAATGAATTTTAATGTGGTTTTTTTGTATAAAAATAAATATGTTTTCTTATCTTCTTTGATAAGTATACATTGAATTAAGATTTACATATTTAACTACATTTGTATTTTAAACAATTTGTAATTGAGGTTGGAGTTTGAAAAGAGAAAAAAATAAAGAAAAGAGTTACATACCTTGTTCATATGGAAGCATCGTGTTCAGGTAGTCAGCTCTGTACAGGTTGTTAAGATGGGAAGAGTAAGCCTGAGCCCCATAGTAGTTAGCCTTGTAGGCACTGTGGTCAGCCTCACTGGTAGCCCTCCCTAGGGGATCAAACTCACTACTGACCCCTAAATTTTTAGGATATGATGTGTGAAGCAAATCCATCATGTTAAGTTAATGTCCTGATATTTTGTTAAACTGTTATAATCACTTTTCACACAAGTAAAAGCAGAAATGTCAGAATAATCACAAATATTGTTCAAATATGAATCAAGTTGATAATAATCCAGAAGAATATATTCCAAATTGTTGACTTGATGTAGATATCTTAATAAAGATAACTAATGTTTATTATTATAATATTATAATATATTATGATATATTATATATGATCACAAAATCAGTAATTCCAATGTTTATATTTGTATGTGTTTGTACTGTTTTATGATTTATCAGTGAATGATGATTATTCCAGATAAGACTGGGTATTTTATACTAAGATGTAAAAATAATTCACTCATGTGTTACATCATTATAACTAATTTGCATAATAATTACCAACATCCAATAAGAATAGCAGACTGGAAATCACCCTCCCCTAAATTGCATTTTAGGTCACTAATAATCAACCTTGACATCTCAGAAGGGGTCAAAATTCACAGGTTTAATAATAGGATGGTATCATTATGTAATTAGGGGCACTATCTCCCAACCATCAGCCCTTGAACATCCTACTGTTTTTAAGTGTGGTCATAATTGCTCCACCCCCTCCAGCTAATTAACATATAATTAACATATCCTGATATTCTGATAAGATACAGACTTCTATACACCATTAGGAAATTGAATGTAGGTAATCATTGGGTTTAATTAATAATGACACTTGGACAAAAAGGAATTTGATTTAATAAAGGAAACCACTCATTACATAATAAAAAAGATGTTTTTAATTTGATCAACACTGATAAGATGGAAGAACCCCTTTCCTTTAATTTTCTTTACAATGTATTTGATAGAAAGTTTTACACATTATTTCTTTTGATATTTTGTGTAGATTTTTTATTTTATTACACTCATTTTGAAGAAATTTAAATCTTACATGTGTTTTAAAATGTTGTAAATGTCATATTTAACTGAGAGAATATTTATTTTTGACTCCTTTTTTTCAATCATAAATTTGAAAATTCAATTTGACAGTTTTATGTATTTCTTTGAAACATTTATTAAATGAATAGAATATTTGAAATTATTTTTAAATTTTCATATAAAATATAATTATATTAAATATATAATTTGTAATATAATTTGATGATAAGTTAAGATTTATTAATTAGAAATATATATATATATTTTTAAATACATTTTGTTTTTGTTTTTAATAGTTATTTGAAAAGATTTAATAAATACTAATATCAATAATAATAAAAAGAAACAGACAAAACTTCTAAATAAGAATTAGGAGGCTTGAAATTTTTTATTGTATAATTTAATCTAAGGACAAATTGTTACAATACAATTTACAATATAAAATTTGAAATTCATTTTTATTTACAGACCAGATTTATCAGGAGTTTAAGATATCTAGTATACAAAATGTATGAACATATTATGATTTGAACTAAATTAACAAAAGGAATTTAAAAAAAGGATTTTTGCAAATGGAATGTTTAACACATATTTAAAAAAAATGTGTATTCAAAACAGAAGAAAAATAGAAATTTACAGGCTTTTATTTGAAAATAAAAATGTGTAATAAAAGCTATGCAAATTATTTTTTCTATTTTTAGCAAGATTTTATTTCTCTTCAATTTTACCAATAACATGGTTATTTTCTCAACCATTCCAGCGATAAAATATTGTTTTTTTACTCATTCTAGTTTAATTCTATTATTTGCTTTAAATTTTGAAAAATTATAAAAGACAGAATCTGGTCAATTACTTTATAGACTTTTCTTGTATTAGGCATAAATAAGGAAACTTTATGTGATGACGATAATAGATTTTATTAGCATTAAACATTGCATAAAATTTAATGCAATATATTATGGAACCATCTTAAAACAGATTGGTAACTAACAACTGGCACAAAAACATAATAAACATCTTTATATAAACAGTGCATGGTTAAAATGAATATTTAAAAGCAATGAATAAACATCTAGTGGTATTAAAAAAAAAATGATTTTATTTTTTTTTATATTCTGTGTTGGAAAATTATTAAAGTCTAAAGATAAATTGACATTTCTGTTAATTTGGTAAGTTTTCGGCCCACAGATCTAGGGATTTTCGACTTTGAGTTAATTATGAATTGTTGCAAGAAGTTAGAAATGATATCTTCCTAAAAAATGTGACAGCCATTCTGGCTATATTAAAGAAAAAGTTATAATTGCCTTTTTTTCATTTCATGAAGAACTTAGTAAAATTAATATTATTTTTTCTGCAATGGTTTTTGTTTTTAATCAAAAGGTATTGCCATTAAAATTTTGTATTGATCTGTCACAGAGCTTATCAGAAGAAGTAACAAAAAAAGTTGCAAAAATAATTTAAAAAAAGCAATAAAGATTAAGAAGATGTTAGTTATTGACAGTATTAAATAGATGGAAATGTAAACACATTTGATTATGTAAATCAAGATGGAAATTTATCAACTGAAAGGGCCAGGGGATTATGGATTCGGATTTGAAAATTTTCTTTTTTTTCAGAGCTTCTTATTCGTATGTAATATAAGTCCCTGGTCCTTTATTTAATTAAACATTCTATTACAAAATTTATATTCACACTGTTACTGGGTATAAGGTGACAGTTCACACTTGCAGGGTACAAATGTGCTACCAGTTGCCACATTTTACCTATGAAGATGTGGCAGGTCACACCTGTATGTTACAATTATGTGAAGTGTACAACTTTCCATGTTACATGATAGAACATAAAAAAATCTTATTTTATATATTTATACATATATATTTATATTTTTAATCCTTTGTGAATGGAGGAAAAATGCTTAAAAATATACTTTTAAATTATAAGAATATAAATTAAAGGGACTTCATGCAGGAGTTATGCCATGATGGGACTGAATATATTTTTTTAAAGAGATTTTTATACTATTTGATTTAAGACTATACAAATAACTTTATGTGCAAAATTTCAAATCAATAGCTTTATCTATTTTTTCTAGAATACAAATTCAAATCATCTCACTAGACTATGTACAATTTTTTTTGTTTATAAAATTTTAGTATTTTAATAATTTTGAAACCTCTTTAAAAAAAAATCATAGCAATCAAGGAGCACAGTATTACTGACCCCTTTTAAAAAACAACCCAAAAAACACTGAGCAGGTACTTTTTTTAATTCAGGTATACAAATATTTTACAGTTCACAAGCTGTACAGATTAGCATGAATGTTTTTTGTTTTTGTTTTGTTGTTCTTTTCTTGACATTACATGCATCAGTCCTTAGAGTTTTGCCCCTATTGGTATACAGGAAATCAAGATGGGGAAATAATTATCCTCAGCATGACTTAGCAAGAATGCCAACATTATTTAATGACTACATGACTTACTAATATTAATATCATAAAGGACATGTTGCAGGAATAGGATACCATTTTCCTTCCTTAATCTTTAAAACAAACACTGATGAGTTAGTTGTAATGTATAATGTCATAGCAGTGGTCAAATGGGATATTTTCAGTTTGGAGGGAAGGTGGTCTTCCTAGTTAAAGCCATTGTACAAATATTGTAAATTAGGTAAAGGCCATAATATTTACAACAAGTTAAATAGACCTTTGGCTATTTGTAAAGGGAACAAGGCTTTAATTGTGGACAGATATATTCTTGTTCATATTATTCCCACTGGGCAGTCTTATCTTTTGTTTTTATTTTAGGCATTTTTTAACTCTCATCAAATTTGTGTGCTTTTATCAAAGTCATCACCATCATCATCACCACCACCACCACCAACATCATCATCATCATTATTGTCATCATCATCATCATCATCATCATCATCATCATTATTGTGATCATCATCACCATCAACATCATCATCATCATCATTATTGTCATCATTGTCATCATCATCATTGTCATCACCAACACCACCACCATGACAACATCATTATCATCATCATTATTGTCATCATCATCAGCACCATCATCATCACCACCACCACCACCACCATCATCATTGTCATCATCATCATCACAACCATCATTGTCATCATCATCATCTTCATCTTAATCATCATCTTAATCATCATCATCATTATAATTATAATTATTATTGATGATTTTCTTATACTATTTTGTCACCCACAAATATATCTTCAGTATTGACATATTATAAATCTTTTATAAAGAGAGTAAAAATGCAAGAAGAACATTAACTTTATTATGGAAGCATACATTTTACATCATTATTCTATGTTACAACAATATTTACAAACATAACATCAGTATTTACATTGAGTTTCAAGTATTAGTGGGAATGCTATTAATTAGGACCTTAGAGTACAAGCACAGAGGTTTTACTTGTATGGCATATTACAAGGGGCCTTAATATAGAAGTTTTTAAATTATAGCAACACTTTCCACTTGATTACCAAAATCGCTTATGATAAGAATTTACAACTTGTTGGTCAGATGTGCATATAGTGTTAGTGCGGTCATTCATTATAAACCTTATAAAACTTTTAATTTCATTTATCAAAGTAGAGGTTTTACCTAGGAATTTTATGTATCAACAGATGAGCTTGGATTTTAGTCTTAATACCTGTATATGTCAGGTATTACCGTAATTTGAAATTTATTTTTAAACATTATGATTTTTTTACTGTTAAATTTCAGGTATAAACACAGGGGTTGCCCCGATGTATCTATCGGAGATATCACCAGTGTCACTTAGAGGTCTGTGCGGCACATTTAACCAACTTTGTATCACGTTTGGGGTTTTCACGTCGACTGTCATGGGTCTAGGTAATGTACTAGGCACCGACGATCACTGGCAACTAGCACTAGGTAAATATTTACAAAATACATGTACATGTATTCAAAATAATTGATTTGGAAATTTTGTTTATAAACATTGGAAATAAATATGAGCAAAATTGTGCTGATGATAGTTTATTTTTAGATATTTGTGTATCTTTTAGTCTTGTTTTTCACTCCAAAAGCCTATTATGGATATTAATAATTTTTTTTGTTTGATAGAACAGCCAAACAGTATGTACCGTACTATATTCCAGTAAAAACAAGTGATTCTGTAACATGCTTAAAGCACTTTTACACAAAACCTTAGAATTTAGAGCCACATTCAAAAGACTTTTTGTAATTTTAATTGAAGTAGCAAAGGATCAAACTTGCCATACCTTAATGTGAAGTCAGACTGTTACCCCTGAAAAATTGTGCTATTTACTTTTACATATAGGTAATGTGACAACATGTACAATGTATTTTGTGTTTCAGGTTTTCCTGTTATACTCATAGTGTGGCAGCTTTGCTCTTTGACGTGTTGTCCAGAGAGTCCAAGATTTCTTTTTATACAAAAAAACTCACAGGATGAAGCTGAAAGGGGTAATACTAGTAGTGCTTACTTACATGTAGATGATTTAACCTGACCATTCTATTGTTTTGTAATGGACCTTTCATATCTTACTTTAGAACTGTCCATTATTAAAATAAGAAGAAAATGGAGAAGTTTTAACATGTCAACACCAGGGCTGGATTAGGTTATTTATTTTCTATCGGTTTCGGTTCTATCAAACCTTCATCTGTTCATTATTAACATCAGAGGATAATCGATTAATGTATCTTTTTTTTTTTCCTGCATAAGCATCTACACGAGCATGAGGACACATTTAAAAACACAAACCACAGGGATTCTACAGATGTTAATGCTCAAAAAACATGCATAAGCACTTTACTTGTATAAAAATATACATCTGAGTCAGTAATTCTGCATTTCGTTATAGGTTTTTCTTATAAAAAAAAGCCGGTTTTATGTTGCTTTTTTTTTTTTAATTTAATATAAAGCATTTTTTTGCTTTTACAGTTATTTTTCTTCATTTTTAGCCCGACTATTCGAGTATCGGAGTTGATGTTGGTGTTGATGTAATACTTAGGTTAAAATTTTCCTTGCAACATCATATCTCATCAACCAGAAATCCATTATGATATTTGCTTGTAAGTTAACGCACTTATTTTAGAAGCGTAAAAGGAGGTCTTCATGGTATATATAGCATAGTATACACAGTATACAAAATATAGCTGCCAATTAGAATTTAAGAAATTTATTTACATTAAATAAAATTTTTGTAATTTGATTTCAGCATTAGTATGGTTAAGAGGTACTCATGATGTCAGTGATGAGATTGATGAGATGATTGCAGAAAGGGAGAAAGCAAAACATATAGAAAAGGTATACCATACTGTTACTTTGAAAACATATAAAAAAGGTATACCATACTGGTTCTTTGAAAACATAAAAAAAGGTATACCATACTGGTACATTGAAAACATAAAAAAAGGTATACCATACTGGTTCTTTGAAAACATAAAAAAGGTATACCATACTGTTACTTTGAAAACATATAAAAGGTATACCATACTGTTACTTTGAAAACATATAGAAATTGTATACCATACTGTTACTTTGAAAACATAAAAAAAGGTATACCATTATACTGGTACTTTGAAAACATATAAAAATGTACTCATTAAACTGATTTTACAAATTTTAATATCAACTTTGAATCATGTTTTCTTGGAGGCATTATTTTTGCACTATGATGGTTTCTGATATTAATATTTTCATATATATATGATATTGAATGAGTGTTTAATACTGAATTCATTGAACAAGTTGAATAAAATTATGTTATGCGATCCTCTTGCATGCATAGTATTATTTTATTCAACAAGTTAAATTAAGTAATGAACTTTCTAAAACATAATTTTCTACCAATCACATATTTAATATACCGTTAATAACTGTTAACACTTAAAAAAAAATCACTTTTTCATGACACGCTTATAGTGAAACGTTAACATATAGTGGGTCTTGAAGTTATGTTTGTATAATGCAAATGACAACATGTCAAAATATATGCACAACCATCCAATACCAATTTTAGGGAGTCGTCAAAGCAGTCACAGGTGTGAGATAAATTCAAATATGCATGATGATTCTTGTTATTGTTTATTTCTTGAGAACTGTCTCATCTGTTGTTTTTTTCTCTTTAAATATTTCGACCATTCATTCCCTATAATACCAGTTCAACCACAGCTTTAATTCAAGCCATGGTTTAAGATTTTTCTGTGTAAAATTCTAATGACTATAGATTCCTACCATTCTTTAAGCAGTCATTCATGACAAGCCTTATACACATATTGTAAATTCAGAAAATTTTGCGATAGATAAAATTTTCACTAGAAGAAAATTTTTATTAAAATAAAGTTTATTGGCTAAGAATCAATTTAACAGAACTGAAAGTCAAAATTCGCAAATATTTAACCTCGCCAACTAGTCTAAAAAGATGATTTCGTGAAATTTTGGCCTCTCAAAAATATCTGATTTTAAAATATATTGTGGACAAACCAGTTTTTAAACATCTAAGCATTCAAGAGGTCTTTTAGTATAAATAAGAATATATCTTTATGAAAATTCTTTACATATGTACACTTTAATCTATATGTAACATTTCTGTAAAATTTGACTATTCAACAATTAAAAAAGCTCTATTTCCTTCTTGGAAAAGCACAATCCTCTTTTGTAAAACAGACATGGCCTCTTAAAAGAAAGAATCTAATCTCAAACACCTTCAAGTCTCTCTGAAATTCTACTGTTTAATTTAGCCAATGAAGTGATTGTCATATGAATATCACATGGCAATGAAGTACCCTACAGGATGCAGGTACCTGCTTTAAGATATTTTTGTCTCTAATATTCATTTTTACTAATAGTTAATGGTGTATTCACAAGACTTACAAAGGTAATAGCAATTTGTATGAAATTATGCTGAGTGATAAGATATTTAATGTAAATATTCCTTACAATGCACTGTTTTAATTTTACAGCAGCTGGCACGTCTGTCAGAAACTAAGCTTTAATTCACACAAGTTGAAGACATCATAGTCACTTCTAGTAAATAAATAACAGCTCATGAATGAAAGGTTTGAGAATAGGTTGGGTGTGAGATTAGGTACTTATACGATATATATTTTATTGTTTCAGTTTACTATTTGTGATTTATTTCACAAGGAAGAATTACGTACACCATTGATTATATGTTTAGCTATGCATCTATCGCAACAACTAGCTGGTATAAATGCTGTAAGTACATTATAAAATATCACTCAAGAACCTGTAACCTGCTGTTAAGCGTTATACTACCAGAATTGAGCAAGGACAGCCTGCACACCTGTGCTGTCTGACCAGGCTCTATACTGTCAGGAGATGAAGTTTTATATTTCGATATTGAAATCAACTGTTAAATAAGTTATTCATTGAGATTTTAGTCAGGTCTTAGTTGTTAAAGTCATGAGACAATATTTAAGCTGTACTTGTAGATTCGGTTATAAGTAGCTTAATAGAAGAGCATTTGATTGTGAATCCAGCAACCTGGGTTAGATTCCTGGACAGTGCAGGTTACTTTTGTTGTGATTGATCATGAAATCCTTACTACAGTCATAAGCACTGTACTTACAGAAGTTATCAGTTCCTGGCAAAAGTGAAGGCAATTAGTTCTGGTAAACTGCTTGACAGCCTGCCAAGAAACTGTGGTTAATATATTGTGGCTTACTGCCATGATCCGGAAGGTAAACCACCTTCCCTGCCACCAGGATTGTTATGTTAAAACTCTTGTTTGGAACAGTGACCTAGTGGTAAAGGTGTCTGCCTGTGAATCCAGGGATGATGGGTTCGAACCCTACTAAGGACTTAGCCATTTTCTTCATATGACACCATTTTTCTTCATATGACACTATATTGTTCAGTTCCAAATTTATGGAAAAGGGGATATCTCTTGAGATAAAGTCCTAAAGGGAAAATTATAGGTTTGGTTTGAGTCTGCTCATTAAGATTTCATTATAAAATAAGTATGTTTAAACTTAAACTCAAAAGGCATGCGTTTTGTAAGATATGTCAATTAACAAACAAGTCTTGATTTTCATAACACATACACCCTTTTCTTACTTGACAGATCTTTGTTACTTTATTTACAGGTTATATATTATTCCACAAGTATATTTGAAACGGCCGGTTTATCAGAGAGTGTGGCGCAGTATGCCACCCTGGCTGTCGGTGGCGTAAACGTTAGTATGACGTTTGTCTCGGCACTCATCATGGACAAAGTGGGTCGACGTTCACTACATCTACTGGGATTAGGTGGGATGTTTGTAGCCAGCTATATTTTAACTCTAGGACTAATCTATGATGTAAGTTATGACTGATTTACTTTATCAGCTCCTCGTATAAACTTTAAAGCTGCATGCCTCTGGATAAGCAAAAATATTTTTAAAAAATTTAACTTGAGAAAAATGTGCATGTATTAAGATTTCATGAAAAGTAAAAAAGATTCAAGTAATAATTTTAATGTTATATGCGATTATTGATAACTGATATTTGCAGTATTTATCACCATATTTCTACTGCATGACTGAAGAAGAAAGGGCTATTTTGGCATATTTTGACCTCTTTTTGGTAATTTACATGGACTGTAAGTGTTGTTTGCAATATGTAAATTATTTTCTTTATTCACTTGACAATAAAATAATTATACTTTTTAATACATTTCCAAAAAATTCATTGAAATTAGCATGAATCTCAAGGCATGCTGCTTTAAAAATATTTACAATGAAACAATATATCTAAAAAACATGTTATATTTAAGATAAACACAAACTAGACAACAAACTTGGTGAAATAGGGATATAATCAAGGACAACACATCTAACACAGAATAAATCTTGAATAAATTTAAATAAATCAACAAGTGTCAGCATCATCACTTTATTATTCAGGATTGATATGAAGTATAAATTCTTTATGTAAAGTATATGAAATGTAGACAAATATATGAAAAACTGTTGATTTTTTAAAAATTGTAATTATAAATATAGAAACATTTGTCATTTTCCTTCGTTGTACCCATAAATGGTTTATTTAAAAATGACAATTAAACTCTAAAATGTTCCTTGCAACACACATGACCATTTATGTCACTTTGAATTTCTTTTCAAATTTTATTATGATTCCTTAATATGTTTTTAAAGCATTTTGAACAACTTGAAAAATAATTGACATAAATCTGTAGCCTTGCCTTGAATTTGTGTCTAGAATTATATATGTAATAGCTACAAGGCTAGTGTCATACCATGAAAAATTAAGAACTCCATATGGAGTGAGGCAGTATAGAGCCTGGTCCATGTGTACCTAGGCACCCCCTGCTGCATCACCTGCAGGTCCCCTTGTGGCGCCCCCTGCAGGGCAGCCTACTGCTGGTAATTGACTGGCATTTATCTTTACCACATGCTGGATTGTTGGGATTTACTGGCACCTTTTGCACCTACAGCTCAAGTTATAACTTTGTTTAATTATATCTTTCACTGATATTTATGGATATTGGTTAAATAGTTAAGACTTTAACAGTATAACAGATAGACTTAAATTTCCATAACCAGTAAAAAGTTGTTTTTTTTAATTGGTTTTTTGGCACTAGACCTTCATTTTCATAAACAATAAAAAAAAAAAATTTTGGCACTAGACCTTAATTTCCATAAACAGTTATAGTTTTTTGTTTGAGTGTCAAAAGGGAAAGTTATTTATGCACATGAAATCGAAATAAAGACTATTAACACTTGTTTCAGTTCAAATGTCTGATATTCACTTATTACAATATTTGTCAAGCAGATAAAGTTATAGATTAGTTTTTAGAGTGGTACAGTGTTTAAATTGTTTTATTACATGCTTTTCAGTGGTTTATAGAAATATATCAGTGAAATATAAAACTGATATTTTCACTGTTTAAAACAGTGAAATTATCAATTTCAGAATTTCACTGTTTTGAATTTAAGCCCCTTACGTTGTTTCAGTTAATACCAGCATGCACAGTGCTTGAAACCAACTTAATGATGTGACATCACATTGTATTATTATTTTGCGTGCTTTTCATTTAGCATAAGGTTTAAATGTCTTTTTAAACGTTTCTTTGCATAAAAAAAAGAAAGTTGGTTTACTTTAGTGTAAGGTTGAAATATATTTCACCTCGTGAACACCAAAAGTTCACATTTCACTTTTGGCTGCGCCACTCGTGAAATATACATTATGGTGCTCACTCGATGAAATATATTCCGATCTTACACTGAACAAAACAAATATCCTCTATACAATGTCAGCCTACAAATCCAGGAGTGCCAAGTTTGATCCCTGTCTTTCAAAGTAAACTAATATTAAGTTTTTTTAGCTCACCTGAGCTTAGCATGAAAATCTTTTAATGTGTGTCTACCAAAAACCCAAATTAACAAGAATTCTGACTCAGGTGAGCTATTTAGGACCATCTTGGCCTTCTTGTTATGATACTTTATAGAAATGTTCACCACCATTAAATATATTGCTTCATACGGTCAAGATCACACTCAAAGCTAATTGCTATGCATATCTATAAGGCCCGCATGTTCATCAAAAGCTTCTGACAGGCGTATTTTGCGACAATGTTGCCCTAGTTCTTCTTTGTATAATATACTGTGTTACTAACACAGTAGAAGATAAATCATTCAGCATGGTCACGTGTCACAGTCTAGAGGTTCAGAAAAATCTCCGGATCCAGTAGGCCAGGGGTCATATATAAATGTTTGTTAATGTGTAGGCCCTAATCATATTTCAAGCTAAAGTTTTAAATGATATATTGGTCATTCAATATATTATATGATTAATCAAGTATAACTTTTAGAATCACAAACTAATTACAAATAACAAAAAAAGTAATTTATTTGTGTCCTATGTTTGATATGATTCTGATTCCATGTGTTCTGGATCACAGGTCACGATAGCACTCTAAGGAAAAGTGGATGAAAGAATTCCGAAGGTATATTGGGGGGAAAGCAAACTATATGTTTTAAGAGCAAAAATGTTAAACTGTGAATATTTTGTTCAAGTGTCACTGTGATTTCTTTCAACTAGGTATTTTGCAATATTTGTAAGACAGTAGTTGGGGCTTCCGTGGCCGAGTGGTTAAGGTCGTTGACTTCAAACCACTTGCCCTTCACCGTTGTTGGTTCCAATCCCGATAGGGACTTTGAATTCTTTCATGTTAGGAAGCTATCCAGCTTTTCGGAACGTCGGTGGTTCTACTCAGGTGCCCTTTCATGCCTGAAATAATGCACAGAAGCGCACCTGAGGTCTTCCTCCACCACTAAAGCTCGAACGTCGTGATATGACCTATACTGTGCTAATGTGACGTAAAACCCAAAACAAACAAACAAAGTTTTTGTGTTATCTTCTGGAGGTGTGCTGCTTTAAAACAGATATATAAATACAGAATCCCTAAAGAAAGCCCAACACGACAAAATTGAAAATGTTGCAGGCTCGGTTTGATTGAGCCTGTTCATGGAAGGTACTTGAAGCCATCATTTATTCTGTTTTATCGTAGATATTTGTTTTTATGCCACCGCAGCATCTGCGATGCGGTGGCATATAGCGATTCACCTGTGTGTGTGTTTGTTTGTGTGTGTGTGTGTTATATAGATTATATAGTGAACTTAAAAAATCTTCTTGTGAAAAACCACTTGTCCAATTTCAACCAAACTTGGCAGGATTGATCCTTGGGTGAAGGGCTTCCAAAGTTGTTCAAAGAATTTCATTCCATGCAGAAATCTGGTTGCCATGGCAACCAATAGGAATTATAAGAATAAATTTAAAAAATCTTCTTGTAAAGACCCAAAAGGCCTAGAGCTTAGATATTTTGCATAAGGCATTGTCTGGTAGACCTCTACCAAGATTGTTCAAATTATAACCCTGGGGTCAAAATCGGCCCCGCCCCGGGGGTCATTGATTTTCACTATATGTACATATAGTAAAAACTTAAAATAACTTCTTGTAAAGACCCAAAAGGCCTAGAGCTTAGATATTTTGTATAAGGCATTGTCTGGTAGACCTCTACCAAGATTATTCAAATTATAACCCTGGGGTCAAAATCGGCCCCGCCCCGGGGGTCATTGATTTTCACTATATGTACATATAGTAAAAACTTAAAATAACTTCTTGTAAAGACCCAAAAGGCCTAAAGCTTAGATATTTTGTATAAGGCATTGTCTGGTAGACCTCTACCAAGATTATTCAAATTATAACCCTGGGGTCAAAATCGGCCCCGCCCCGGGGGTCATTGATTTTCACTATATGTACATATAGTAAAAACTTAAAATAACTTCTTGTAAAGACCCAAAAGGCCTAGAGCTTAGATATTTTGCATAAGGCATTGTCTGATAGACCCTTACCAAGATTGTTCAAATTATAGCCCTGGGGTCAAAATCGGCCCGCCCCGGGGGTCATTGATTTTCACTATATGTACATACCGGTATAGTAAAAACTTAAAATACCTTCTTGTAAAGACCCAAAAGGCCTAGAGCTTAGATATTTTGCATAAGGCATTGTCTGGTAGACCTCTACTCAGATTGTTCAAATTATAGCCCTGGGGTCAAAATCGTCCCTGCCCCGGGGGTCATTGGTTTTCCTTATATGTATATAGTAAAAAACTTTATAGTAAAAAAAATTTCTTCTAGCAAATGCTAGAGGTTAGATATTTTGCATGAAACATTGTGAAGTGAACTTCTAGCAAGATTGTTCAAATTATAGCCCTGGGGTCAAAATTGCCCCTGCCCCGGGGTCATTGATTTTCAATATATACATATAGTAAAAAAGTAAAAAAAATCTTATTGTCTTAAGGTACAAGGCTTAGAGCTTGAATATTTGTTAAATGATATCATCTATAGGTACTCTACCAAAGTTGTTCAAATTTTGCGTCTTGTGTCAAAATTAGCCCCGCCCCATGGGCCATAGGTTTTCCTTATATGTATATAGTAAAAACTTAAAAAATCATCTTCTCTAAATTTACAAAGGCTAGAGTTAAGATATTTGGCATGAAACATTATGTAGTGAACCTCTAGCAAGATTGTACACATTATAGCCCAGGGGTCAAAATTGGCCCCACCCCCAGGAGTCATTGATTTTCACTATGTACATATAGTAAAAAAAAAAAAGAAATATTTTTGTCTGAAGGTACAAGGCATAGAGCTTTGATGTTTGCTCTATAATATATTCTATGGGTTCTCTACTAAAGTTGTTTTAATTATGCCCCTAGTGTTAAAATTGGCCCTGCCCAGGGGCAGTGATTCTCATTATGTTCACATAGTAAAAACAGAAAATAAAACAAATCTTTTCTGAATAGGAGAAAGCTACAGCTTAGATATTTGACTTGAAATGTTGTTTGGTGGACCTGTATCAAGATTGTTTTGAATTAAACCCTTGGGTCCAAAATTTTGCCTTGCCCAAGGGGACAGTGACCTACTTTCTTGTCCTTTGATGTACAGCAATGAAATTTTGACCATGTGCACAGTTTTAGTTGTAAAATTGAACTTTGATATCAGGTGAACTAGATTTTGATGATGTGACCTTCTTTCTTGTCCTTTGATGTACAGCTATGAAATTTGAACCATGTGTACAGATTAAGATGTTAAGTGAACTTTGATTTCAGCTGACCTAGATTTTGACAAAGTGTCTTACTATGTTGTCCTTTGATGTAGTCATGAAATTTAGGCTGTGTGAAATATGACCTTCACCACCAAATTCACTAGACTCAAGTGCATTGATATATTCCTACTCTGATCTTTTATTGAGTTTAAACAACAGATTTAAACACTAATCTGATAATAAGAATTAGATAGGTCAGGGATCTATGCATTATGACAATCTTCAAAATTGTATAGAAACAAAGAAAATCTGTTCCGACACTACTATTTAGTGTTGTATTAATGCGGTGGCATAGCATTTTTCTCAAATGCAATCTTGTTTTTGTATGAATCCAACTTTATGCATTCTGGGGTTGAGGTTATGACTAAAGAGGATTTAAGAATAGAATTTTATTTCATTCATGCGCAGAGGTATAAAAAAGCCATTAAATGAACATGAATATCATATGACACTAGTGTAACCACAAGGTAACATGATATTGTTTTATTCAAACATCAAAATAGGCTAAATATTAGCATTGCACTACATGTATATGTGCATCAATGAAAAGAATGACTCTTTTTTTACTGTATACCATTTTTATTTTTGGCATGTAGTTAATATAAAAAATTATCATTTTGTGTTTATTTTTAAATTTATAGAACTCGTTAAACTAAACAAAACTATGCTGGCCAAATACTCACATGATATGATTTTTTTCATGTTGTTCAAACAATTCAGTAGTTTTTTTGTAATATAACAAATAACAATTAAACCAGATGCATTCAAAAATGGGATTTCCAAAAGAAATGATCACCTATAATAAATGCTATACTCTTTGCATACATTTTGAGAGAAAGGCATATATTTAAAAACATGTTTATTTTTCTTTTGTGAATCATTTGTTTTAGTGATTAGATGTCAAACACTTCAATGTTGTCATCTGTACATCTACTTATACACATCTTTGTCATTTGTTGATTACAACAGACTGATCTTATTCCCCATTTTTCACTATCAGCTTTTATAACTTCTCCTATCAGCTCACCATCACATGTAAACTGTAAAACATTATTGGAGCCATATCCAGATACCAGCACACTACCTGCTTCAGTGAGATAACAACAGTTAGCCCCTTTAATTGTAAATCATTAAATGATGTAATAACCTGACCATTGTTGTCCAGTACTATCAGTCCATTATTGTGGTCAGCAACATAAATCCTTGTAGCATCCTTACTTACAGCTAGACTGTGTATGTTAGAGAACAATTCATGTCCTGATTGATCCTTTCTAAACTGTTTAAGTTTCCTACCTGATAATGTATACATATATACTGATGTGGAATCTGAGATATATAAATTATTGTTTGCATGTGCAAGACCGAGACATACAAAATCAGTGTTAATCTTGTTTGTTCTTTTCATATTTCTTTCTAGAGAAATGATATGAACTTCCTGTTTTGATGGAACAGTTACTGCTACTTGTTTGTTATTGATCATACAGACTTTATATGGTGCTCCAGGTAGATCATAGCAGTCTGTGAGAGTATAGTTATAACCGTGTAAACGTTTAAGTTTAATGTTGTTGTAATCAGCTAGAATTATTGTACCATCTTTCATACAGCAGGCACTGTTGATATGACAATCATTTTTATCAGACTTTACTTTTACATTATATGATTGATTACCTTTAATCTGAAATAAATTGTCAGCAGTCTTTGCAGGTTTCTCTGATAGTATTCCTATGGTCTTCTTTTGTTCTAACTGTGTAAGAATTGTTCTGTCAGGTTGAAACTCTATGTCTCCTACTGTACTTTTTATTTTGGCATGCTCTATATATTTGATGGCAACATTTGCAGCATCTTCTCCCATCTTCACATAAACAAACACTTCAGAATAATTCGTGTTTGTAGATGTTAACTTATCATTAGCTGATCTAATCCTGGACTTATTTGCTTGTAGCTGTTTTAAACTGTCTTCGATTTTGTCTTCAAGACTTTTGACTCTACTTTCTATCTCATCAATAGAACTTTTCTCCAGCTTGTCAAGATGGTCATTGATTTCTTGTCTGAATTTTCTGATATCAGCCAGTATTTCTGCTTTCCTCTTTAACATCCTTTGTTTATCCTGTTTAAATCTATCAGCTTGTTTTTCAAGGGTCTTGGCTATTTCCTTAAGTTTTGTTTGAAGTTCTCTAGATTCAGCTTGGTAAGTATTGTTTTGGATAAATTCTGGTATGTAGAATGTGTCCTTACATAATCTGAAAAGTAAGTTTAAACAGTTTATGAGGTTATGAGATGATGTAGGAGATGATATATTATTTAGTGTTATATATTTAAGATAGTCGAAGAATATTATGTAAAGTACCTACTAAACATTCCATATACTTTCTTAAAAAAATCTTTGTTTAAATACTATTATTATAAGTTTACCTGTGATCAACTGCCATACATGTAGAGCAGCCAACATTATCATGGTTCTGACAGTACATATCAATGTGTTTATGACTGTGTCTGTCACATCTCTCTGCTGGTGCCCTTGGCAAAGCTTTACTGGTTCCTAACTTAACTTGAGATTTATCCAATACCTTGTGACCAGCTAATACAGGCACTTTACTGTGAACTTTGACACAACTAACACAGAAATAATCGTGACAATCTACACAGTATTTTTCACCTTCAGTGTTCCTGCCTTCATTTCTACACATTGAACATAATACGTCAAATATTTCGTCCGAGAGAATATCCGTATCAATTTGTCGACCTGTAGCCATTTTGTCTATTTCCCCGACTATCTTTGTTAGTTGATCTATCTACATTGTAAAACCGATAAAATTGTCTCTATTTCTTTCACAGTTATTTTAAATTTAAAAATTGATGTTCTCTATAATTAAGATAACTGAAAGCTTAAGAATCTTCTACATTGTGCTCCTGGAAAAACAGCAATTTCTACATAATATTTGTTGTTTTTTTCATAGAGAAAATCCTCTCCTGTTGCTAAATAATGTCTGAATGATTTGACCTACTTTGGGTTTAACTTATCAAAGGCGCCCTTATACCTCTTTGCACAAAGTCTAACTTTATCTGATGAAACATATCTAAAGTTTATTCACATCCAATACATGAACTAAATTGTTAAACTTTAAGGTATATGAATAATAAAGTGTTTTACACAGTGTTGGTTAACAATATGCTATTTAAATCTATATAACACGGAAGAAAATATCTAACTGATAGAAAATAACTAACTTTATTTCCACTCGCTAAGTAATTGGTTTACATATACATGTATATATTAGTCCTTTGTGTTTAGGACACATTCAAAAATGAGCTGTTGCAATATCAAAATTATTAATTTGTGAGGGTTTGTCCATTGAAAGTTCTAATTAGACCTCACTATCAAAGGTAGGCTTATACAGTTAAAGGAAAGAGTACAAAATCACCTCTTTCAATTCAGATTTTAGCAATTATGCAATATTTAAGTACTTATATTTTATCTATTGAAAATATACTCAGGTTTCCTATTAGTTTCCAATGCAAAAAGTTGTCATTTTTTACAAATTAGATAAGAATGTGCAACTCCTCTATTAGGTAACTTCAGTGGCGTCACTTACCTACCAATACGCCAATACGCACAGGTGTATAAAAAGAAAAAGTTTCGAAGAAACTAGGTCAAAAATGAAATCACATCTATCAACATAATCGTAGCTGCTAATTGATTCTACTCACTCAGGTATGCTTAGGATGTTACCTTATTCGAATAATTGCGTTACCTTTTTATGCACAATCAAAACTTCAATTATGAAGAAAGGGAATAAAAATATGATATAGAGGATATTTGTTTAGTTCAGTGTAAGATCGGAATATATTTCACCGAGTGAGCACCAAAAGGTATATTTCACGAGTGGCGCAGCCACAAGTGAAATATGAACTTTTGGTGTTCACAAGGTGAAATATATTTCGATCTTACACTAAACTAAACAAATTTTCTTTTTATTATATGCAAAGAAACGTTTTAAAAAGACATTAAACCTAATACTGAACGAAAAGCGCGCCAAATAATAATACAACGTGACGTCATTTACGACGTCACGTCATTAAGTTGGTACCCAGTACTGTGCACGCTGGTATTTCACTGAAACAACGTAAGGGGCTTAAATTCAAAACAGTGAAATTATCAAAGTGGTAATTTCACTGTTTCAAACAGTGAAATTACCAGTTTTATATCACTGATATATTTCTATAAACCACCGAAAAGCATGTAATAAATAAACAATTTCTTGAGTTAAGCGTTAATTATAATGCTAATAATCCTCGTCGAAATCCAAATAAGGGTAAAAAATTGTCCAATATATTACAATCATTTTTTTTTCAGAAGAATCAAACTAGTGAAAAGTAAACATTTACATTGTATTTCATTTTTTACATATATATGCAAAATAAAGATCTGGTTTGCAACTTGGTGTTTGCAGCACAATTGAAGAGAGTGAGTTAGCTGTATGGAATGTCTTTTTATATTTTACATTGTAAGTTTAGTAATATTCATTCAACTTACATTCATTTCAAATTATGTAGAATAGGCAAACCAAATTCAAATTTTGTTTATTTGACTGTAAAAAAGAATACCAGTATTTACAAAATATATCTAATTCTACTGTATTATTTTATTGAGTAAAAAAATGCACACTTCTGAAAACAATGATATATATTCTTTATTATACGTAGTCTCATCTATAAATATTTAAAACAAAGACAAATATATAACAAGAACGATGTATAACCATATAAGTACGGAGCCTCTAAGGTGACATTTTCCACACTTTTTTCCCAGGAACTTAATTGAATTTCGTTTTTACAAAATAATAATTCATAGAACGAAATAATAATTCGTTTTTACGAAATATTAATTCATAATTACGAAATTTTAATTTGTTTTTACGAAATGTTATTTCGTAATTAAGAAATATTATTTCGTTTTTACGAAAAATTAATTCGTAAAAACGAACTGTTATTTCGTAATTACGAAATAATTATTCGTAAATACGAAATGATATTTCGTAAAAACGAATTAATTTTTTTCTAGTGTTTCAAAGAGTTTTGGTAATAGTTATTAATAAGGCCTTGAAACTAAGTTCCTTTCTGAATATAAGGCATGTAAATGTAATATAAATAGTGATTTTTTTCTCCCCAAGTTTTAAAACTTAACACTCTTATTAAGATAATCGCCAGGCAATAGCGTTGCCGCCACAGATGTGATAGTACACGAGCTAGGAAAATTTTGTGAAATGGGGGTCCTGTGCTTCAATTCCAAACACAGACATTTTTTCTGTTTTGTTCAGTCGAAATCATTGAGTTTTGAAATAAAATGTTATGTTTTTATTATCGCACGGTGCCCATACATAAATTGTAAGGAAATATACTTTTTTTTAAATTGATTAGATTAGTGAAAGTCTGGTGCCCCCCACGCCCTTTTACTTTTACTAATGTGTATGATAAAAAAGAAGTAATATACATGTAGCATGTTTCAAAAATTAAAATATTGCTGATAGAAACATGTTTTTGACAATGGGGAAAAAGAGGGATATTTTGGATAGAGAATGACTTCTCACTCAAAAACCCTGTTCACTTAAATATAATAACTTGAGAACCATTCAGCATATAATCGCAAGGTTGATCCAGGCTTGTAAATGATCCTTTTGTGAGATTAGTAGGTTCTTTGTCTAGCTCACAATGACCTTAAATAAGATTTCATAAAAACGAATTAATATTTCGTTATTACGAATTAATATTTCGTTATTACGAATTAATATTTTGTAATTACAAAAAAGTATTTTGTAAAAATGAATTAACATTTCGTGAAAACGAATTAATATTTGGTAAAAACGAATATATATTTGGTTATTACTAAATAATATTTCGTAAAAACGAATTAATATTTCATAAAAACGAATTATTATTTCGTATAAACGAATTAATATTTTGTAATTACGAATTGATATTTCGTAAAAACGAATTAATTGCTGGGAAAAAGGTGTCAAAAAATGTCACCTTATGGGCTCCGTGTATAAGACACATCATGTCTAAATTCTTTTATTTTCGCCGACTTTAGATAACAAATTGGCGAGTCTGTTTATACCAACATTTTTTATGTGCGTGAGGCATTTAACTTTGTAATGAAATAACTTAAATATTTCAAATGGAAATTGAAAGACTGAGAGTTGAGAACAAAAATGTTAAAGACAATACTTATTGTCTACACCATTGACATAATACCCATTAAAAAAATCTAAGGAAGCTAAATGATCGTGCGATACTACATTTTAGCTGTGAATACTATAACCTTTCATTACACTAAACATTTAAGCTGTTGTGTTTGTATTAAAGGCATACAGATCATTTTAAAGCATATTTTCCTTGATTATATCTCAGGTTAAGTTATGGTGAAACAAAAGAAAAATAACAAAGAAGAAACTAAACTAAATATTACAAAAGGAGATAAAACCCATCTTTTTTACAAGAGAGACACCTGGCTATGTTTTGTTTTTCTAAAAGCAATTAACTTTTGAACTGTTTAAAACAGTGTACAAGTTAGACTTTGTGCTATTTCTCTTACATTCAATATATGTACTTGATGTTATTTTCATAACTATAGATAAAGACAATAGAAGTACAATTCAGCTTAAATATCCCCTAAATCATTAGTTATAGCACATAGCTATATTTGATATATAAGTCTCTGGCGATCCTTCTGCCAACCCTGCTGCCAAAAACCGGCACTAGGCGTACACTCATAATAAGCCGAGGTACGTAAATTATACGCCCCTGCAACTTTGAACAACATGCCAAACTTCAGAAAATATAAACTGCTGTACTATGTTAACTTCTGTGTTGCCTTAAAAACAAACATCTCTTTGATTTCATTAATATAAAGTAACACATATACTTTATCAGTAAAAATATACTGTACTGGTCGAAAATGATAAATGGTAGTGGAAAACTACTAGAGCCTGGAAACCAATATGTTTTTTTTTGTTCCGAGTTCTAAAAGATGTCAATTAAAAAAAATCATCTGTTTAAGGGTTTGACCTTTAATGTGTAATCAACGCTGAAGAGCCTTGGACTCTATATGCAAAGGTTAAACTTACACTACATATGAATTGGATTTTGCATGAGTTAGTTTGGGATATTCTCATAATTAGTATTATACAAAATTGAAAGAAAGAAAAAGATCTTTGGCTAAAATTTCATTCCAAATTTGCCTGTAAAAACTTTGAAAGAATGCTCATGCATGTCAGTTGTGCAGACGGAAAATATATGTCAGGTATCACTCCGAGTTGCATAATCTTAGATTATGCAACTCGGAATATTCTTATCAGTCAGTCAAGCTCATCGGAAAGATATGACCATTTATTTTTCTCCAGGATGCATATAATATATTAATGGTCTCATTCGCCTCCCGTGCGTCAAAATTGTATCATCCCAAAAATTGACTTGCATTCATATTAAATATCATTCAGTGAATTATTGAATTAAAAATTTATAGGTCACCTTTTGGTTGATACATGTTTAGGACATGAATGGTGACATGTCCGGGGTCCGTACTCTCAGTGTCTGAAAGGGCGGATGGACCCTCAATAAGCCTACCATACATACATACATACATACATACATACATACATACATACCATACATACCATACCATACCATACATACATACATACATACATACATACATACCATACATACCATACCATACATACATAAATAACATATACCATCCATACATACATACAGACAGACAGACATACCATACACACAGAATTCACAAAATTGTTCTTGTCCACAAAATGGAGTGAATTTACAGTAATGTATGTAGGTATTTATTTGAAATACTTAGGACATTGTTATATTGTTTTATTCCAGCAATATGATGCAGGACATATATGGGTTGGTGTGATTTGTGTCCTAGCCGTGGTATTGTACATCATCTTCTTTGCATCTGGCCCAGGTAGGTCCTTGATAACATTTATAGAAACAATAATTAAAAAGTTTTGGTCTCACATTATAAACAAGAGCCCGAAAGTTGTTTTTTTTTAGTAAGGATGAAGCATTTGTAAGACAAAATTTTACAGCTGTTGGTTGATTAATACTTAAGTTATTAATAATGACCTTAACCTTTGACCTTGTGACCCCAAAATCAATAGGGTTCTTCTACCTTATATGGACAATCATCCTAAGAAGTTTGAATATTGTGGGCCAATTGGAACTTTAATTATGCTCTAGAAACTGTTTTCAGTATTAAGGTAAACCTTTGACCTAGTGGTCTTTTGCCCAATATGGACAATCATACTATGAAGTTTGAACATTGTTGGCCAAATGGACCTTAAGTTATGCTCCAGAAACTGTTTTCAGTTTTAAGGATATAGTGACCTTGACCCTTGACCTCAAAATCAATAGGGGTCACCTACCCAATATGGACAATCATCCTATGAAGTTTGAACACTGTGGGCCAAATGGAACTTAAGTTATGCTCCGGAAACAGTTTCCAGTATCAAGGTAATAGTGACCTTGACCTTTGACCTTGTGGCCCCAAAATCAATAGGGGTCTTCTACCCAATATGGACAATCATCCTATGAAGTTTGAACATTGTTTGTCAATTGGAACTAAAGTTATGCTCTGGAAACTGTTTTCAGTATCAAGGTAATAGTGACCTTGACCTTTGACCTTTTGACCCTCAAATCAATAGGGGTCTTCTACCCAATATAGACAATCATCCTACAAAGTTTGAACATTGTGGGTCGAATGGAACTTAAGTTATGCTCCGGAAACTGTTTTCAGTTTTAAGGTCATAGTGACCTTGACCTTTGACCTTTTGACCCCAAAATCAAAAGGGGTCTCCTACCCAATATGGACAATCATCCTATGAAGTTTGAACATTGTGGGCCAAATGGAACTTAAGTTATGCTCCGGAAACCAAATTGCTAACGGACGGACAGACAGACAGACGGACGTCAGGGGGTATAATATAATATGCCCTTTCGGGCATATAATAAGTATAATGAACATTAAAGCTCGAAAGTCACCATATGACTTATACTGCGTTAAATCCAGCTAAAAAATAAATGCTACCAACAGTAAGGAGACTGGCGAGACTGACCTGTATTTTTACTGGTAGCAAAGACTAATCATTTTTGGTAAAGCAGGATTTTATGTAATGTATTGTAAGCTGTATTGCACAGGACTAACTTAAAATCTATGTAAGCATTTAAATGTAAGGATTGTATTGTAATTTTTTATAGCAATGCTAAAATGTACGAACATTTTTTTGTTATAAAAATTAAACACAAATTGGACTGGGCAATCTAGGAAAGCTGGTTAAGTGGACTTACACTGTGGATATATGACCCCCCAAAAAAGGTGTAAAATCGGCATAATAAACAAAGTTACAGTGAATGGATTATGAAATTTTAATATATATATATTTACTTCAGGAGCTATACCATGGTTTTTCACAGCTGAGTTATTTGCTCAAGGACCTAGACCTGCTGCAGTCAGTATAGGGGTACTGTTTAACTGGTCAGCTAATTTCTGTGTTGGTCTGTTTTACCCATTTTTACAGGTAAGATAAAATCAATTTATTTTTCTGTAGCATAGACCAAGTGAAAATGATGTCATGGAGCAAAATTAATCCATGTTTTTATAAAGGACAGATGCCAAAGTTATGAACCTTGCCACTTAATTAAGATGTGCATATGGTTAAGGAACTTGTCTTTGAAATTTGAAGGGAATTCTTTAAAGAATTTGTGTCAGAAAATGTTACCAGACAAAAACAATAATCTAAAATTGGACATTGGAGTGTTTAAGGTATCTTCTTTTGCATTTTATGTTCACCTGTACAGTTGAATTTCATGATACTATCATAAATCTTATGTAGAACTTGGCAGAATTGATGTATTTGAACTTGAATGTTTTAAATTCAAACTTAAAATACTGTTGAATTTACTGTCTACAGTAGTCTCCTGCTCAGACTAATTGGTTCTCTTGTTATACAACTCCAATATGAAAACCCCTTATGAAAATGTTCAAATTCAAAACAAGATAAAATAAAAAATGCTAATTCGGGTGTGCTTCATTGATGTATAGATTATTGTTAAACAATCACATGGCCATTCCTCCCATAGCGTCACCTTAGTGAAAAAAACTCAGTATATACATTTGTATGAAAATTTTCTGGAAAGCAAAAAAAATAAGGAAAAGTTTTGTATTCTACCATTTAACTGAGATAGCATGTAAAATTTCTACATTTTCAGTCAAGAAATCAGTGTGATAATTTTTTGCACTATATTTTCTTGGTGCAAGAACTTTATTAGTACATTGATCATGTTATTGCATTTATAGAAATAGTAAGATCTTTAAAATTTTAACAATGCACTATAAGAGCATAATTATATAACTGTTTAAGTATATTGTAGAAACTCATATAATATTACTTTTTTTCTAATTTTTTCTTTCTTTTTCAGGAATCTATAAAAGCATACTCATTCATACCATTTGTTGTATTTCTGGCGATTTTCTGGATATTTACACTGTTTAAAGTACCGGAAACTAAAGGAAGAACCATTGAAGAGATTACCGCTCAGTTTCAAATAACTGTACCATATAATCGTATACCATTAACTGAGGATACAGATTAGGATATGTTGAATTTGTACTGTAAAATTGTATACGAGGATACAGATTTGAATTATATAGAAAAAATGCTGTTTAAATGGCGACGTAATAATCTAGTTAAATAATTAACCGACTGAACTAATAAAATCCTTAGATTTTCAATATTAACCTTGTTTCTTTATGACAAGATATGCCATTTTGTTAATATTTTGTTGTACGTACTCATTCTCAAAATAATTACAATACAACCGAATATGGAGTAACTATTTTCCGCTAGGGTCGTACCCTATTCGATCAGATCGGAAAAAATACATTGTTGAGAACAACTTAAATGCAAAAATACTGTCATATCTTGATATTAAAAAACTAAGGTAATATTAAGAATTAATTTAAAACTTTTCCGCCAATTAGTCAAATTCTTACTTCGGTTACTGGTTATTGAATTGTCTAACCGGTTTTTAGGTAAAAACCAGATAAATGTGAACACCTAATCTAATAAGAATGGGGGGGGGGGGGGGTGTTGTAGGGGGAGAGTTGAGAGTTTTTCCTTCTAAATGCAATTGAATACTTTTTATGATGTAAAAATTAGGAAAGCATGATTTTGTTATATAAATATTGGAACATTGGAATTTAATGATTTGACTATCCTTTAACATAGAAAAAGATAAAATGTGGCATATTCCATGAAATAGTCTTTAAAATCATGCTAAATACCTTAAATGGACTTGTCCATCTTTCCATTCATCATTTTTAGAGAAAATTTCAAACTACAACATGATAAAGAAGTCACTTTGAACTGACGGAACAGTGGACAGTGCAGTACATATCAGATGGCATGGATTTGTGGGCATTTCTTGGTCATAATGAAATAATTACTTAAAATATGTTTTTTGCAGTCATTATACCCCCAAAAACGAAGTTTGGGGGGGGGGGGGGTATATAGGAGTCACCCCGGTGGTTGGTTGGTCGGTCGGTCGGTCCAGACGTCCGTTGCATTTTCCTGTCCGGAGCATAACTTGAAGACTAATGGTTGGAATTCAATATAACTACATACAATGGTCAAGCACATTGAGAGGAAGTGCAGTGCACAAGAACCATAACTCTATCTTGACTAATGACAGAGTTATTGCCCTTTGTTACTTTTCTTGTCCGGGGCATAACTTGAAAACTACTGGTTGGAATTCTAAACAACTTCATACAATGGTCAAGCACAATAAGGGAAAGTGCAGTGTACAAGAACCATAATGCCATCTTGACTAATTACAGAGTTATTGCCCTTTGTTACTTTTCCATTGCTTTTTTTGTCTGGAGCATAACTTGAATACTAATGGTTGGAATTCAATATAACTTCATACAATGGTCAAGCACATTGAGAGGAAGTGCAGTGCACAATAACCATAACTCAATCTTGACTAATTACAGAGTTATTGCCCTTTGTTACTTTTCTTTGTCCCGAGCATAACTTGAAAACTACTGTTTGGAATTCAATACAACTTCATACAGTTGTCAAGGACATTAAAAGGAAGTGCAGTGCACAAGAGCCATAACTCCATTTTGACAAAATACAGAGTTATTGCCCTTTGATACTTTTCCTTGTCCGCAGCATAACTTAAAACGTACTGGTTGGAATTCAAAACAACTTCATACAATGGTCAAGCACAATAGGAGGAAGTGCAGTGCACAAAAACTATAACTCCATCTTCAGTATTTATAGAGTTATTGCCCTTTGTTCCTTTTCTTTGTCTTTCTGGACTTATTACAGAGTAATTCAATAAAACTTCATCAATGGCCAACCACATTGAAAGGAAATGCAACATACAAGAACTACAACTATCTTTAATTGCCTACAACCATAACTCTATATTTCAATTCTTTTACAAGGTATTATGTTACTAGTAACACCCTCATTTCCGAAGCAGTCTTGTAGGGGTATTAATCACATTTAGTGATAGTTCTAGTTTAACTTCCACAAACAAATTTTATGGAGTATAGGTTTTAAGGGTGATAGTAATGCTTAAGTATTATGACTCAAGCTATTTAGGCCAGTCATTTATGGTGGTAAAAATAAAGGAGCTCCACTGAGGTCCAAAAGCCCAAGAACATAATTTTTGAAAAGTTTACTTTGATCAATTGGGGCAAATAATATGGTGAAATCATGAAAAAGATAATTAAGAAATGTAATCAGAATTTAATTGAACATTAAATTTCTATGTGATTCTTGTCTTGATTTGAGACAAAAGTGATTGAACCTATTTAGTTTTTTGTGGATCATTTTTGCACGATGTGAAAAATTATTCTGGAAAATTTGTATATAAGTTATTGGTCCTTAATACCTTTATTAAATGGCAGGCACAGAAAAATATTTCCAGTACCATATTGTCAAAAACGTCAGTGGTGTCCCTTTCATATTTCAGGCAGATAAATTTCTGTAATATAAATCTCAGTCATTTATATTTTCTATTTGTAAGTTGTTTTTTTTTATTCATCTTAACATTGTGTCATGACTTTTATATCAAGTGTTGAACTTGTATGTTTATTATGTTTTTGTCTTGCTTTGATAAAGATCGTGTAATCTTTTTTAGTTTGAACTACAAACAATGTGAATGAAAGGTTGAATTCTAGTCCAGCCTCCGCAGAGCAATTGTCTCTTTACAACAACAGTTTTAATTCTTCCCAACGTAAGACTTTTCAATAAATTCAATCTGTCTAACAAAACCTTTCAACAACAACCAAATCTTTGTCTGGCAAAGGGGGTTGCTCTGCCGAGGTAATATGCATGTTTAATTTCATTGGAATTTAAGCTTTTTTTTTTAATTCGAACATACAATAAACTTTGCTTGTAACAATATTCAGGGGACTGCCAAATTTATATTGTTATATTTAGACATCGTTATATCCCAAAGGCCAATTCGAAAATGAGTTGAGACCCCTGCAACAACATCGTTATAAGTGGTATATCGTTATAAGCAATATCATTGCAAGTGGAGATTATTGTATATATATCATTATTATCCAAGGAAAAGACAAATAAGGTTGGTACTTCTGATTGTAAAAATAGCTATAGTGGATAATGAATGAAAAAAGTCATACCCCTGATGTATAAGCATATATGGCAGCGTTTTAAATCTCTGTAACATATGAGAACTTGCAAAACAGCATTGCAGGGACACAGAATTCGTTCTTATTGAAAATGACTGGTGCATGATTTATACTGAAATATACTTCTGTAGAATATGTAAATAGTTTTAAAAAGCACTATTTGTGCTGACCTTGGATTTCACTGCCTCTTCTATTGTCATATTATTTTTATGTTACTCTGATTGTTTGAACAGTTTGTTCTTGTTTTTGTGTGCAATATGTTGCAGATATTATTTTAGTACATACATGTATGTGCTATTTTGACTACATCGCTGTGATACAGTTATATAAGATGTACTTACATATATTTATTAAAGTTTACTTACAAAATGGTGGAGTTTCATTTTCATTCAGATGTCACTCAAGAATTTATATCACTTCTCATACAGTATAAGGTTTGCATACTGTTATTCTTGTAGAATAATTTCAAAATTCCAAGAATGTGTGAATTACTGTCCAAAGTTTATTAGTGCAAGTTTTCAGTTCTACTATAAAGTGCAAGAATAATACTGGGTCAGTCCCTGTACATAATACTTGATGGTTTTTTCTCTTAATATCACATTTATAAATGAAGACAATCATTCCTTTGAAACTAGACATTTTTGTATTATGGTTTTCAGACACTTTGCAAAACCTACAACTTACTAAGGGTGCCTGTGGTCGGGTGGTTAAGGTCATTGACTTCAAACCACTTTCCTCTCACCACAGAAGGTTCGAGCAGCGTCTTCAGATTCCAAATTTGATAAAGCTATCCAGCTAGCTTTACAGAATGTTGATGGTTTTAATTAGGTGCCCGTTTGTGCCTGAAATGATGTACAGATGGGCACCTGAGGTCTTTTTCCACTAGTAAAGCTGGAAAGGCACCATATGACCTATAATGTGTTGGTGCAATGTAAAGCCAACGAAAAAAACCCATTACTCTGAATATTGTTGCTGAATCTTACTCTTTCTATGGACTCCATAGCCCAAATGGTATGGTCTGCTGTCATTAGCATTGTTTTACAATAATCCATCAAAGATTAAGGCAACTTCTTCATAATAGACTCGAGCTCAAGACTGACCAGTCAAGTACAGTCAATGTGCCAGGGTGGGGTATAATTTAAATTTATTTTCATATATACCAACACAAACATCTACCGAAGTGGACAAGTGTCAGACAGACAGAACCTCTTGTAAATGATAGGTGGCAGGTCATATAAATAAATCATTTTGACATGATATTAACAGTTTCTTTAAACAGATTGCTACATTTAAAAGAGCCGTCCGGTAAGCTCAATAGGAAGAGCGTTTGACTGTGAATCGGGCGTCTCGGGTTCGATTCCCAGACGGCGCATGTCACTTTCGTTGGGATTGATCATAAAATCTTTTCTACGGTCATTTGCACTGTGCCTCTGCTCTGGTATATACAGAAGTTTCAGATCCTTGTGAAAGTGAAGGCAACTAGAACAGGTAAACTGCTTGACAGCCTGCCCAGGAACAATGTGGTGGCTGGACTGTGTTCTGGAAAATTTAATTTCGCTTACACCTGTGATCTGGAGTGAAAACTACCAAAAAAACCACCACCCACATTTAAAGATTGCTAGATCACTTGTCAATAACCAGTATAAAATGGTTTGATAGGTGGGGGTGGGGCGGGTGTATAATGTCAACATATTCACAAAATATGTTTAAGCGAGGAGGCTTTTATGTAAGTAAAGTAATTTAATAATATAAATAACATAAAACAATTACATAACTATGTACAAGATATCAATATACATGTATATAATGTATCAGAAAAAATAATATGGTCCCTATCTTGAGAAAAGCCACAGAATTGCACTAAGGTTAACAGTAAAAGATAACACTTACATATCACATAATTTATATAATAATAATTTTTACCTTCATATCTATTATCTCAAAAATTATTTAATGAGATCAGTTAAATATCATCTCATAATGCACTACTTCATATTATCTCGAACATCTTCTAATGCATTAACTAATTTCATTATCTCAATTTTTTTCGCATTATACATGACTTCATATCATTTTAAATGTTCCTCCTATTGCACCAGTTACTATATTTTCCTCAAAGATTATCTCCTAATGCACCAGTTACTGTGATTTCAAATATTTTTTCCTAAAGCACCAGTTAATTCATTATCTCCTATTCTTATCTTCTAATGATATTACCTTTTAATAGTATCTCCTAATGCAAAAGATAAAATAATTATCTCAAATATTATCTCCTAATGACCAGTCAATATCATAATATTATCTTCTAATGCACCAGTAAATATATTATCTCCTGTCCTTATGCATCAATTAATATTATTACCTCCTAATGCACAATTTAATATTATTACCAACTAATGTATCAGTTAATATTATAACCAACTAATTCATCAGTTAATATTAGTACCTCCTAATGCATCAGTTAATTTTTTTTACCTCCTAATGCATCAGTAAATATTATTACCTCTTAATGCATCAGTTAATATTATTACCTCCTAATACACTAGTTAATATAATTACCTTCTCGTGCATCAGTTACTATTATTACCTCCTAATGCACCAAATAATATCATGATTATTGCAATTTTCAAGGTCAAAAACTATATTGCATGTACAGGATTTCAGATGTCACTGGTAAAAAAAATCCTGCAAAAAATGAATAATTTATCAAAATAAGAATCATGTACTGAAAACTGTATTTTTATTTCAGGAATGTTAAATAGTAAGCTTAAAAAATTATATAAATGCAATAAAAAAAACAACCTGCCTACGGATTCAACTAAGTGAAAATGTTAACAATCTTAAATGGAATCAAAGACATCATCTACAGAAACATGTACATTAAAACAAATTGACTATTTCACTTACATACTAGTTCACGAACAAATATTTCAACGAAATATAACCTGCACAAAATACATCAAAAAAGCTGTGAAAAAACAACACTTTGTTTCATTCGAACAAATATTTCTTTAATACGCACATTTCTATTGAAACAAATATTTATGTTAAAAAAACACATATATTCAACTTCAAAGAATTTATCATGTTTTTGATTTGATCGCTTTAAGAATTATTACTCTAATGAACATTATATTATATGAATTCATACACATTGTCTCAGTAGATTGATGCCATCACCTTGTTGTTGATTCAAAATTGAGTCGGAGAAGGACTATATTAGATTTTATTTATTTCGTTCTAATCCATTTCAACATTGTATATATTGAATGATTGTATATTATGTACTGTGTATGATAATGAATAAAATATGTTTAAACTAATGAACATTGATATTCAAGAAACTATATAAAAGAACTTGTTTCGCTTTTTATCACATACCCAAAATAAGGAGTGTTTAAAGTGAAAAAGAATCATATTTCATTGATTTACAGCGTCATTACACTATGTTTGTGCCATGCAAATAACGTCACATCGAAATATATACAAGGCCATCCAATAACGGTTTATGTCGAAAAAATCGCCACGGCTATTTGATAAAAATGATGATTGATGATTACTTTTTATTGGTTCTATCACTAAGTCTATAGTTCATTGGACAAATACATTTATTTTTATAGATACTTGCATGATATAATATATTCAACTCGTTAAGATATATTCAATTAAAGTACATTTTTATAAATAAAGAACACAAATGTATAATTTTTTATCACAATAAATAACAATACATGTACAAATATTTCAGGTATGACAGACTGATTGACTTCACAATAGAACCCTTTCCCCCGGTATTTATGAATTTGTTTTGAATTAAAAATATGAATCTGGTTAAAAAATTTATGCTATAATGGCGTCAACGCACGTTTTTCCGTGTTATAACGTCTAATAGAACCCTTAACCTGCTGGAACCCAAACTGATAAGCGTTTGGAACCAGTATAGAGCCAGACCAGCCTATACATTGCAGTTCAGTCAGACCAGGCTCTATTTACTGTTGGTAGTTCAAATTTTTGCATTTTTGATATTGAAATCCCTTAAGCTTGAATGGACTGTTTTTTTTCCAAATAATTTAAAGCAGGCCCAGGGCAAATCCATTACACAAGATCAGGAGGTTTAAAGGTTAAGAATGAGTAACCAATACAAGAAAGCACTACAATATTGCACAGTTCAAACAAATTGCCTCTTTTACAAAGCTTTACAAGTTATGATACAGACTTTACGTTGTGGCGCCAATTCCCTGTAATATATTCCTAACAGTATTTTTTACTTGACTGTACACAAGGAAATAAATCCGACATAAATATTCATGACTGGTAACTGAAATGAACGACCCATATAGATATGTGAAATTTCAAGCCATATGAAAACTCTAATGCATTAAATAATGACTTGTCTAAACATATTCAGTTCTATTAAAGCTGCATGCCTCAAGATGAAAGAAAAATCATTCTTGGTAAAATTGTACAATGTACTAACCTTTAAGGAAATAAAAACAATTCAAGACTCAAGTAATAATTTACATGTTATGTGCCATTAATAATTGGTTTTGCAGAACAAAAAATATTTATCACCGTCTCTCTACTGTGTTACTAAAGCAGTAAGGGCTATTTTTGCATATTTTGAGCCTCTTTTTGGTAATTTACATGAATTGTTTGTGCCGTTGCAGTGTGTAAATTACTTTCTTGAAAATTTAATTAGCATGAGCCTTGAGGTGTGCTGTTTTAAGGTCAAGTCCTGACAAATTGTCAACTATTTAACACTTAGCAGCATTATCAGAACGACTTGAATAAGTGTGGTATATTTACAGCATAACTGAAATTCAGAGAACAAAAAAATTTATATAAATTTAATGGTATTATGATTTTTATGTTTACTAAGAAAAACTTAATAATTCTATTCTGGTTACTGTTAAGACTTTGGTTTACATTCCATAATTGGTGAGACTAAAATGAGTGTGGAGCACCACATCAAATACTGTATTCCTGTATATACTGATAATCCACTCGGACGATTAAATGCTAAAATATCGCAATTTCACTTGCCAAAACACATTTATGACGTAAATTCATCGCCTCACCCTGTTTTATATACGAAAATAAAAAAAAATGTAAGGATCAGCAAAAAAGCAATATTTTCTTCAATGTGATTTCTGCAAGTTTAGAGGTACTGCTCCAACACTGTAGTTAGTTAAATTCTTTTATAATACACATATTTGACCTTTTGAATGGATGCAGAAATAATTATTTCTGTAACAACATATATACGAGATCAGTATTTTAAATAGATCATAGAGTAGTTGATGTAACCGGATGTAAACCATGTACAAAAACCGTTAGCGGTAGACTGTCGGACAACTCGTCAAGTTTGATG